ACATTACAATTTACATTTTAAAAATCGAAATTTACAAAAATATTACCGAAACATTTAACAAATTACGGTACATTCATTCGAAAGTTACTGAAAAAATGGTATGTCCGGAAATTTATTTACTCTCCCCCCCCCCCGCTCGCCAACAATTTTTGGGGAAAAAGATTAAAATAGCAACTGAAATATTTCATGTTTGATCAGTAATACCCCACACCTCAATCTTGATCCATCCGTAACTCGGCCCGGGCCCCATCAGACGTTGCTCATTCGTCTTCCTTTTCAAACCCCAGCACGTCCCTGTCTTAAATCTCTTTTATAAACCTTCTTCATCATTAATTTTTGAGAACGTTGTAATGTTGACCTCACAATAATAGCGCCATGGTCACTTACATCTTTCAAGTTAACTAAACACCAATTTAGGAAGGATTTTTCTCTTTTTGGAACATCAATGATTTGGCGAAAACCAAATAGACTTTTAATACGAATCTCCTTCAATCCAGTGCTTGGAGGGGGTGTTGTCAAAATCACCGGTAATCATAACAAGAGCTTCTGGGTGTTTACAAACAAATGTGTTAACATTAGATTGACACTTGCTGAGTGGGTCGGTAAATAACAGCAAGGAGTATTATTGAAATTGATCTTGGAAGACGATTTGGACGAAGTCAAAGCCACAGTTAATAATTCAAATTCCTGGAAATTTCTTTTACATTGGATTTTCGAGTGAACAAATACAGCTATTTCAGTTAAGGTTTATTCTCCAATGCGGAGAAGTCGAATACGAGCGCGTAAAACTTGCTGGGAATCGCTAAAAAATTAATGATTTTTTTAGCGATTCCCATCAGCCTTTCGCGCTCGTATTTGACTTTTCCGCTTTGCTCGGGGACAACCTTAATTGAAATTGCTGTATACACACACCACCGCCAGATGCCATTAACCGATCTCTTCTAAATAAAATATAACTATGCAGAGACAGAAAGCTATTGTCGATAGATTGATTCAACCAAGTCTCTCTAATTCAAATTAGTATAATTATACACAGATGATTATTAAAAATTCTCCACGCTGAATGGTTGCCGTTGAGGTGATTATAACGCGATAATCACCTAAGATTTTCGAAATGGCGGCCGAACCCATTCCTTGTTTTAAAGATAGCCTGAAGAAATGTATGTTTTTTATTTGTTTCCAAATAATCACCTATGAAATTATACTAAAACAATTATTCACCTCAGGCCCGGTGATTATATATCGTGAATAAAAACCTCGAATCCGCCTCGGTTTTTATTCACCGATAATCACCTCGCCTTCGGCGAATAATTGTTAATTAAATCAGCGTTATTAACTTCAGATACCAACTCTGTTTTATCATCTTTCGCCGATAAAAATCGCACATTAGCAACTAGTAATGTGGGAAAATAAACATTATAGTCAGAACTCATCGACGACGATGTTGAGGTGGTTGGCATGGGATCCCCATAAGCAGTCGGGGCTGAAATATTTGAGGTCGCTGGTAAGGGGATTGGAACATTGCAAAGGGCTGTGGTACAGGACAGGGGGAAAGGGGTAACGAGGAAGAACTGTCTGGAACAATTCCATTCTTTGCAAAGTCTTTTCGATGCGATTCATCGTAAACATCAGATTTAAATTGCATTTTTTCTAAAAAAGGTAACTAATCGTTACCCAGTCGATTATCATTCATTAGAGGACTGGTTGGCTTATGACTGCGTGTTGATTTAAGTCGTTGTGGGAAATGTCGCACTTCGCGCCTTTCGGACAGGAACCTTTTCTTTGAAGGAAAGGACAAAATACCTAGGAATCTTTTGGTTGGTACAAAAGACAGCAAATTCGGTCACGTACAAATAACTTTCTGTCGTTAGTTTGGAATAACACGAAACTTCCTCACAGGATAGAACTTGCCATCCCTAAAAATCCTATCGTTTTTGTTTTTCGACCTTGTTACATTTTTGCGGGAAAATGACGTGCCAACATTGGCGCCAAAAACTTAAACACGAGCTAAGAACTTGCAAGTGATGAACCAGGTGGGAATCGTAATCGTAGAATAAAGATTAATGCCCAGCATAACGTACGCAAAAGAGCCATATAGACAATAATATAATATAAAAATTTATTTAAGAAGTGCTAACGTTTCGTTTCGTCTTTAACCTAAGACATCTTCAGAGTAAATGAGTATAGTATGACAATGAGTTACAAATATGAATAAATTACTATTTACAATATCAAATCACAGGGTAATAGGAATGCGGACGATGGGGGTTGGGGGAGTTAAAGGGAAAAAATCAGAGGAGTGAGAGAGGAATGGAGCTACCTTGCTGATTCAAAGTAGGTTTGAGCTTTGAGATGAGAAGGCTTTCACGTACGAGAAGTTCATCTGGGGAGGAACAGGATGATAGGATCTTAAAATCATCAAGAGAAGCAGTATGACCTGAGTGGCTCAGATGGGAAAAGATGCTCGTAAGTTGAGGACTGCTACTCGTCTTACCTGTTTGGAAATTCTCATAGTTAGAGCAAATATTGAAAAAGCGGTGTTATAGTGAATATATTAAACCACGTGTGAATTGTAGAGGAATGAAGCTGTGGAAATTAGTGAAAAGCTCTGTGAATGTAGGTTTACGATAAACAGAGGTTTCAAAGTGGCCATTAGATCGTGTGATAGTAATGTCAAGGAAGGAAAGTTGACAATTGGATTCAACTTCACACGTAAAGTTAATGTTAGGATGTTGGCGATTGAGATATTGAATATGGTCCCTAGAACGGAATAGAAGGAAGGTATCGTCTACATATCGACGATATAGTAAGGGCTTAAAATTGGTAGGGCAATTATTAAGCCAAGTGGTTTCATGAAAAGATAAAAAAAATGTTAGCAAATAGAGGCCCAAGAGGAGAGCCCATTGCTACGCCGTCTATCTGTTGATATAGGGAACCATTGAACAAGAAATGGCAGTTTTTGACAGCACAATTCAAAAGTTGTTTGAATTCAGAGCGAGTGAGATCATGACAACGGATGGCATTCGAAAACAAGCGATCGGCAATTATTTCTATGGTTTACATCCAGTGATATATTAGTAAACAAGGACGTGACATCAAAGCTAGCCAGGGCAAGATTATCGGAATTAAAGTCTAGACTTAACAATTCCTGCACAAAGGAGAAAGAATCACGAACCATAAAGGAGCTAGAGCAAATAGGACTTAGAATGGGAACAAAGAACTTGGCAATCTTATAAGAATAATTATTAATACATGATAGAATTGGTCTAAGTGGAATATTGTTCTTGTGTATTTTCGGAAGTCCGTATAAGATACCAATGCGAGAGCCAGCAGGATAGAGTTGTTTATAGGTTGCTTTCGTGATCGATTCAGATTTATTCAATGAGGCTAGAAGGTTCTTAATTTGGTTTTAACGCTGCAATGTTAATTTGACAGGATCAACATCAAGGCTTTCAAACTTGCTAGTGTCACGCAAAATATCTTCCATTTTCCGGTTGTAATCGCCACGGTCGAGAATGACAACTCCATTTCTTTTATCTGGCTTCACGATGACGATGTTTTTGTCATTCTTTAAATCATCGAGTGTTTTCAAATCGTCCTTAGAAAACAAGAAATCAGGTCGGCTGTAACTGCGGTGGCCAGAGAGCGCGATATCTTTCAACTTGGTTTTGACCAGGGTTGGATAATATCCCGAGGATGAAGACATTTGTTCGTCCTTTAACTTTCTGTGCAACACTTCAAACGGGGCAAGGAAGGCACAGCGATCTAACTTGTTGGGTGGAATGGCAAAGTTGAGACCTTTCAAGAGGATTTCCTTCTCTTTGTCCGAGATTAAGCGCTGTGAGAAATTGAACACAAACTTGTCCGGGTCGATTGAGGCATCATTACTTGCGTCAGAGCAAAGACGAAAAAGTTTACGGTCTTGAATTCGTTGCTGTTGGTTGAGTTTCTTTGTATTCTCGCGGTCAGATACGTTTTTAAGATGAATAAAATCTAATGACGAGACAAGCGCGGCAAGATTAGAGTATGCGATAGTAACTTGAGATGACAACACACGAATTCTTGCATGTTTAGAGTCAATTATATTTCATCTTGTAAAAGTTTGAGTTGGCATTGTCGGTAAGCACTCGAGTTTCGGAGACGTCGATTTTTTTATGCAAGGAACTTTTTTGAAGAGACTGTCCTATAAGGATCTCAAAACTGTAAAAACATTAAAAATACAACAAGGCGTGCGAAGATATGGCGATTCAAAGTTCGAAAAAATCTATTTTTAGTAACAAAATGGCAGATTTTTCAGATTTTAAGCACCATATCTTTGCACTGCTTTGGCGTATTTTCAATGTTTTTACAGTTCTGAGATCCATATAGGACATGTTCTTAGCTCGTGTTTAATTTTTTGGCGCCAAAATTGGCACATCATTTTCCCGCCAAAATGTAACAAAATCGAAAAACAAAAACGATAGGATTTTTAGGAATGGCATGTTCTATCCTGTGAGGAAGTTTCGTGATATTCCAAACTAACGACAGAAAGTTGTTTGTACGTGGCCGAATTTGCTGTCTTTTGTGCCAACCTTAAGAATTCATTGAAGGAAAGGACAAAATACCACATGTTCAGGTAGGTTAGACTTCGCGTCCATTTTTAAAATTTCCTTCGGGTAATTTTTTTAGAATTTTGCAAAAAAGATAATGTCTGTATAATGAATATTTTTCTTTTTTTATAAAATTCAATTGATCCTGTTGTTACAAAATTTTAAAAAAACTGTAAAAATCAATATAAAAATATTTTCTAAGAAAAATTGAAACTAATTAACATGTTAAGTCGATATTAAGAAATGTGCAAAATTTTAAAAGAATTACCGAAGCAAAAGGAGAAACTTTCGATTAAAATTTAAATATTTTTCGCTGTGACGTCATAGATTTGTCGAAAATCCCGTTTTAGTGCATAATATGTGATTATAATGCAAAGCGTATTGATTACAATGCGCTTTAGCATATTTCAAATGTTGCAGTGCGTCAACGACAAAAATACATCATTAAGGTACGCGGTTACACGCTACGATTTGTTGTGTACGATTCGTATCCTGCGCTGTGTATGAACATTATTACTGTCGCCACAAATCCGCTGCATTTACTGTTTATTGCGAGATTTGAAACGAACCATTTTATGCACGCTTATTCGATTACATAAGTACACCAGAGTACGAATCAGACACGACGTTTTATACAATTATGGTATAACCTCGACAATCTGTCACTTACCACAACGACATGCAGGCTTTTATTAGCAATCCAGCTACGCATTTATACTGCAACTGCAACCTGGCTTGGACAGGCTTCTGCTTCACTTCATTAAATTAGAGTTACCTCTAGGTCTCTAACCTTGAGATTGGTTTCTATTTTTTATGCTACAGTTGGTGATCGCATTATCGGTCGTTGGACAAACAACAAATATCTCTCTGGTAAAATTGCATCTATTTCCGAAGAAGATATTTCCATCTTGTTTGACGATGGTACAACGATCACACATCCTCTAAATCACGTTACCGCTGTGTTTGCCGATACAGTTCCAGTCTCCGTAAATTATAAGGACCACGTGGTTGCGGCATGGCAAGGAAGTTACAAACAGTACATCGGGTACGTGATAGAAGTGAGCGAGTCTCAAGGCTTCAAAGTTCGTTTTGAAGACAATGACGGAGCCTGGTACCAGAAAAATCAACTTAGAATCTTTTCAAACGCTGCAACGGTCTACGATGGTTAGTTATTAAATGTTTTAACATCTATTTAAACTCGATCAATCAGTCTGTGTCAGCGTATGTAGTGGCAGTAACACTAGAAAGCTGCAGTTGATAGGGATTCAACTACCTGAAAAATGCACGCATTTTGAAAAGATGCTTCATCGGGAGATTGTAGTGTGGATTGGTATAAATACGTATGCTTTTGTACTTGTGAATATAGAACTGACCTCGTGACAAAAATAAGTTAATCAGATGGATTCGGGCGAAAACTGTAAATTACATGCATTACGGAATAAATTACATAGGAAAAGGAATTCAAGCAACGTAATAATTCAAACATAAGAAAAACGTTCATTGATATTATAGGGATGGACAGTGCCAGGGCGCTTATATATAGGGCGGTGAAACGGCTATAGGCCCGCCGATCGATGTGTGATGCAATGAACTGGTAACGAGTTTGTCGTGGTTACTATGGCGACGTTGTCTTATGGCAAGGATAAATATGGCGGGAAAACTGAGCTGGAAGTTTTGACTGTTTTGTAGTCAAGTTTTGATGAAGAAATAGACATTGGGGCCGGTAAAATTCCGATGATATACGATAATTTAGTAGATACTGCTATTGTATTTCCAGCCGTAATACTGCCAATATTTTAGGGTTTTTGCTCAAAACTCTTGCGAAAGCTTACGAACGGTTGCTTTCGCAAGAAGCATGACGTGAAAGGTTTTAAAACTCTTCGTATGTACACGTATCGTTCACGTTCGATAGAATACAATTCATAATTAATTTTAGCCACTAGTTGATCTTTTCAGTTGAAAATCAAGAAATGCTCAACTTGAATTTGTATTTTTTTAACGAATCCTTATGAGAAGTTGTCTTGGCCAGCCGGTCAACAAAATCAAAGTTGGGACGAAACTTTTTCGACTATTGCGCTCAACAAATTAACGTCCGAGCGAGTCGTATTTTGATTCAAAGGCCAAGAAGTAAAATATGTTTACGGCTCAGAATTACTTCAATTGAATGCCTTAAAAGTCGTACAAAATTATTAACATAATAACCAAAAATCATGACATGGCCAAAATACAATTTTATTTTTTTTTGCAGCGAAATAATGGTCTAACGAGGCAAAATTTAACACACAAAAATACCTCATTTCCAACGCTGTATATTCAATTGCTCAACAGCGAGTCTTATGAAAACTTTTGGAGATAAGCACATAATTATAATCTTTACGATCAACTGAATTTCGAAGTTTGGACGACTTGATAACATGCCCAAAAGCTGTTTTGAAAATTTCCCTTCATTAAAGTCATCAAAAGCCCGACTTTTAATATTTCTTTCAAAATTCAACTATACAGGCCAAATAAGCATTCGTACGATACACAAGTAACTAAATCGTCGTTATAGTGCAAAAACATCCTCAAGAATTTCGTAGTTAATGAAAAAACAGCGAAAATACAACAGCAGGAAAAATCACGCTCCTTGTCAACCTTTGCAGAAAAGCACGCTCGTGCCAGTCCTTTTCCGCAAAACACATCGATCAGCACGACATCAACGCGTTTCGCCTCCTTATATATAAGCGCCCTGAAGAGTGCCGAACTTGATAATGAGACGCTGCATTTCATGTTTTTTGCCGCTATCTTAGCGTCGCCGCTATTAAACTGATGTCTGGCAACTGGTTGATTGGCATTATTACTAGTGACATCTCGTCGATTCTCACCAGTCACAGTGTTTTAAACATAAAATTACGAGACGGCTGTTCCTTATCTGAAAATGAATGGCCTCATTTCCACGGCAGCTTGGTACTGTCTAGACTTGCCACAAGTCGACCTCGAACGAAACGCGAACAGCGAGCGCTAGCGGCGAAGTCGCTCGCGCGAGGCCGACTTGTCATACTTGCAGCGCGCCAAATTTTACTAACCCAAAAATTGGGTCAGGTTAAGCTTTTCCCATATCCTGTCTGTGCCGAAACGAACACATCTCTTCAACCAATCAGAGAATCATCTTCAACCAATCAGAGAATCATCTTCCACCAATCATAGCGTTCCCGTCCTGTTTGCTTAAGGTCCCTCACTTCTAAAATCGCTTCTAAAATCACAGTTATTGGAGTCGCGATATACTGTAGACAGTTCAAAATCACTTCTAAGGGATAATACATTGTAATAAATACAACATATTTCGTCGCGATAGAAAGTCTCCTGGTGGTGGAGTGATCGCCTACGTGAATAATTGTTTACCAGCAGAGCGTATGACTCACCTCGAAGAAGAAAACAAAGAAGTGATATGGTTGTTGTTAAAACCCCCCAGAACCCCTAGACCTTACAGTACAATCGTTGCTGCTGTTGTGTACTACCCTCCTGGTCAATCCGCCGAACAATCAATCGATATGAATGAATACTTAACTACTCGTATAGATAGTCTCTTGCGCAAACGTCCTTCATCTGGAATTGTTATAGCTGGGGACTTCAATCAACTAAAATTAAGAGAACTATGTAACAGATTTAATTTAAAAAGATCTGTAACTAAACCGACTAGAGGACACAACATTCTTGACCAAATCCTTACAAATATGCTCCCTATCTTTGACACTGTTAGCCATCTCCCCCCAATCGGACGCTCCGACCACCAATGTCTTCTAATCAAGCACATTAAAAGACAGAAAACTCCGGTTACGTCAAAAAAAATTAGATTGATGAAACGAGCAAATTTAAATTACCTCTCCCTGAATATGGCTTCTGAAGATTGGACTACTGTATATTCAGCACTGGATGTGGATGAGAAAGTATCAGCTTATAACTCCATTATAATCAAGATGCTTGACGAGTTCTTACCAGAAAAAACCATCAGAGCACATCACTCTGATAAACCGTGGATCACTGGTAATATTAAAATGCAAATCAAAGCTCCTCAGAAGGCCTTTTCTCGTGGTGATCAGCCAAGATACAAACAACTATGCGAGAAAGTGGCAAATCTTATAGCTAAAGCTAAAGCCACCTACTATCGGTCCAAGGCCTCAGAATTTCGTACCTCAAATCAATCGAAGTGGTATAACTGTATCTACTCTTTAGTAAATGCCGAAAACACAACCCACACCCAATTTCCACACTGGCCCGAAAACCTAAATTACTCAAGGAAACGCTGCACGGCATGGAATTGTCAAAATCGCCAATCAACATCGCTATCGATAATATGAATAATCAACCAACCATCACTGACAATGACTCTGTTGTACTAATTGATATAGAAGAATCTGAAGTTAACGTAAACACTAATATGAATAATTTACCATCTGCGACAGACAAAGAGAAACAATATAATACCCGAGGGCCAGTTGTTAATGACTCTCTTATGAAATCCCAATAAACCAGTCGTCCAAGACTCCCTGACTTCATTCAACCATCTCCTAAAAGAAAAGGCCGCGTTAAACGCCAACATGCATCGTCATAAGAGGAGTCAAGTGCATAATTCTCCAACTAACAGAACGCATTTCTCGAAACCTAATTACCGGCGCAATCAGGCCGCCTTAAACGCCAACATGGATCGTCATAAGAGGAATCCAATGCATAATTCCTCAACTAACAGAACGCATTTCTCGAAACCTAATTACCGGCGCAATCAGTTTTCCGAGCCTAAACATCAATATCGTCAAGCAAATTTTCCTTCAAAGATTTTTCGAAGCGGTCGCTATCGGAGGATTCCGAAACCAAGAACAACAGCAGACAATACAGATACAAGAGCAAGTCAAATCAACCCGGCATACAAAGTGAATCCTTTCCAATCAAAGTCAGAGTTACAGCTTGGAGAAACGGAGTCCTGGGAACTTACCTACAGCTGGTCAACCGCACCTTGGACCAGTTTGGAACCCTCGTTTAGGCGCAATCCAACGGACAAGTGATAATTATACATCTCAGAGAAGTGTAAATTTTAATAATTTAATTAACATTAAGACTAATACAAACCCCACCATTGGAAAGTCCTCAGTCATGTCCTTCCTCTTGTCAAATGTATGCCATATAACAAATACGGTAGACGAATTAGCTGCTGTTTTATCGATCTATGACCCATCCGTGGTAATGATAACTGAATCTTGGCTAAGTGATGATATCGGTGATTCCTCGGTTAAGATCGGTAATAAATACAACATATTTCGTCGCGATAGAAAGTCTCCTGGTGGTGGAGTGATCGCCTACGTGAATAATTGTTTACCAGCAGAGCGTATGACTCACCTCGAAGAAGAAAACAAAGAAGTGATATGGTTGTTGTTAAAACCCCCCAGAACCCCTAGACCTTACAGTACAATCGTTGCTGCTGTTGTGTACTACCCTCCTGGTCAATCCGCCGAACAAGCAATCGATATGAATGAATACTTAACTACTTGTATAGATAGTCTCTTGCGCGAACGTCCTTCATCTGGAATTGTTATAGCTGGGGACTTCAATCAACTAAAATTAAGAAAACTATGTAACAGATTTAATTTAAAAAGATCTGTAACTAAACCGACTAGAGGACACAACATTCTTGATCAAATCCTCCCTCTCTTTGACACTGTTAGCCATCAAATATGCTCCCTCTCTTTGACACTGTTAGCTATCTCCCCCCAATCGGACGCTCCGACCACCAATGTCTTCTAATCAAGCCCATTAAAAGACAGAAAACTCCGGTTACGTCAAAAAAAATTAGATTGATGAAACGAGCAAATTTAAATGACCTCTCCCTGAATATGGCTTCTGAAGATTGGACTACTGTATATTCAGCACTGGATGTGGATGAGAAAGTATCAGCTTATAACTCTATTATAATCAAGATGCTTGACGAGTTCTTACCTGAAAAAACCATCAGAGTACATCACTCTGATAAACCGTGGATCACTGGTAATATTAAAATGCAAATCAAAGCTCGTCAGAAGGCCTTTTCTCGTGGTGATCAGCCAAGATACAAACAACTATGCGAGAAAGTGGCAAATCTTATAACTAAAGCTAAAGCCACCTACTATCGGTCCAAGGCCTCAGAATTTCGTACCTCGAATCAATCGAAGTGGTATAACTGTATCTACTCTTTAGTAAATGCCGAAAACACAACCCACACCCAATTTCCACACAGGCCTGTCAGGTCCGAAAACCTAGACTGATCCGACTTAGCTGAAAAACTTCAGAAAGCCTTCACTAAACCATGGTCGGATCGTTACACGAATGTCGCCTTTGAAATACCTGAAGTGGACCACCCACATAAGAATAACAAACCACCCCTTCCTTCTATTGGCCAAGTTAAAGCGGTCTTAAAACATCTTAATCCAAGAAAAGCAACTAGCATTGATAAGGTTCCTGCATGGATGCTCAAACAATACCACGAAGACCTAGCTCCTGTGGTTTATGACATTGTGTGCTGTAGTATAAGTCAATGTTGTTATCCATCACTCTACAGACATACCCTAATTTCCCCTGTTCCTAAAGTGCAACCACCGAGAGACATCAACAATGATTTCCGCCAGATATCAGTCTTACCCCATCTTGCCAAGATCCTGGAAAAGATCCAGCTCCAGTTAAATATTTAATATCTGAAAATTAAGAATAACCAGCACGCGTTTACTCAACATCGAAGCACAGTCTCTGCGTTAATATCAACTACCCAAACCTGGTTTAATGCCACTGATTGTTCAAAAACAGGCAAAATGGGGGTTCATGCGGCCTTCATTGACTTTCGTAAGGCCTTCGACCTTGTGGATCACAATATTCTTTTGAACAAATTAGCAGCTATGAACATAAATAAACCCTTCTGGTTATGGATTAAAAGTTTCCTTTCCGGAAGAGTTCAACAAGTAAATCTCAATGGTACCTTATCATCCATTGCAACATGCCCGGCCGGAGTCCCGCAACGCTCTGTAATATCTCCCATTCTTTTTAATATCTACATTGATGATTTGGAGGACGCCTTACCAGAACAACTAAAAGTCAGTACGAATAAGTATGCAGATGACTGCACACAACACCAAATAGTGAGCGTAGATTCTAATAGTAATTTACAACAATCTATCAATGAAGTAAATAACTGGGAGGTGTTAAATAAAATGGCAATTAATGCTAAAAAAACTAAGGATATGTGGATCTCTTTCACGGACGCTATAACTGAACCACCACGTCTTCGTATTGGAAATGAGTTAATAGAAAGGGTTAACGCTTTTAAATTACTTGGCGTGTCGTTCCAAAATAATCTAAAATGGAACGCACATGTTGAAGAGATTACACGTAAAGCAAATAAACGCCTTTACCATCTTAGAGAATGCAGGAAATCGCAGTTACCAGCTGAAGTCGGTATTATTACCTATCAATCCAAAATAAGACCAATTCTCGAGTATGCATCACCTGTCTGGGCGGGACTCCCTAATTACCTGCGAGATGAAATAGAGCGGGTTCAATCCAGGAGCTTAAGAATCCTTGGCCTGGAAAAAGATTACCTACCACCGTTGAACGAAAGAAGGGAAGAGGCAACTAGTCGAGAAGTTGATAGGTTTATGAACGATCCACACCATCCCTGTCGCAGTGTTTTGCCAAAATTAATTAACAATCAGTACAATTTAAGGAACATTGACCGGAATCGCAATATATCATTCTTCTCAGGAACTGAAAGGCATAAACATTCTTTTTCAGGAAGAGCTTGTAAATATGTATAAATAGTTTTAACTTATTAGAAGAACTTATTAGATTAAAGAACTTATTAGTTTTAACTTCTTAGTTAGTTTTCTAAATTATCTTACAACAATTTGTAATATAAAGACATACCCACAGCATAATACTTTCTTAAACAAGTAATTGTAAGTCCATTGTACTTTTTTATCTTAAGATGGATGAATAAAGCTATTATTATATTATATTTATAGTCTATATATATATATATATATATATATATATATATATATATATATATATATATATATATATATATATATATATATATATATATATATTGCACAAGTGAACATAACAAATCCTACAAGTTGATTGGTCAAATTTGACGTATTAAACTGTTATATTCACCTACAGGTGAATATAACAAAAACGAAATTTTCAAAATGGCGGCTAGCCGTTTTGTGGACGTTATACTGATAAAGAAATAAGCGAAATTAAAATAAATTCAGTCCCAAAAAAACACAAAAATTGTAAAACAATTATTCGCCTCAGGCTCGGTGATTATCGGGGAATATTCACCTCGACTTCGTCTCGGCGAATATTCTCCGATAATATGCACATATATATATATATATATATATATATATATATATATATATATATATATATATATATATATATATATATATATATATATATATATATATATTATATACTCATTAATAATTCAGGAGCAAAACACAAAGAAAAATCATAAGCGTGTCGTGGTTTTGTATGTGATAAAAAAAAACATGTTAATTTACATAGACTTTAGCTTTGAATTTTTCGGTTTAGACAAAGTTTATTTTAAAAATTACTTCGCCAATGAACTCACATAAGATTAGTCGTTTTTTAAGCCATTTAAAGCACTTGTAGTCGTGTTTTATCAGATATAAAACGCTCGGCTGCGCCTCGCGTTTTATATCTGATAAAACACTCCTACGTGTGCTTTAAATGGCTTAAAAAACGACTCAATATATATATGTATATATATATATATTATTATTATTATTATTATTATTATAAATTTCCAAACTAGCAGTAACAACTGAATTACTTTGGAATTACAGGGTATAAGAACATAGGTATTCAATCTATTCTATATTTACAGGTAAAAATAGGTAAGTTAGATAAAAATAACGATAATAATCTAAAGACAGTTTACTTATTATCATAAGCACGAGACGCAGCAGGAACGAAACTGTTCCAAAAACGTTCAGTTCTACACCTAGGTACTAATAAGTTGGGATAAGACCTCAGATTATAAGTTTGAAGACTTTTAGGCGGTACTAAGGCATTTAATTCAGTTTATGAGTGGGTTCCAACATCTTCGAAAAAAGTCGCGTGAAAAGGACAGTTCTACGTTCGTAAAGAGTCATCAAGTTAGCTTTAAGCGAACATTCAGCATAGATAGTTCCAGGGAAAATAATTTTTAATGCCCTTTTTTGTATTTTTTCAACTTGATCAGTCAGGTAATGAGGAAGGCCATAATGCCACACCTGACAAGCATATTCGACAATTGGTCGAATATGTGTACAATAGGTTGAGATCAGAATATGAGAAGGTAAAGCATTTCTTTTAAGAAGGCGCAGACCGTACGAACGCTTCGCGGCTTTCTTGCAAATGTAGTCAATATGGCAGTTCCATTTGAGGTCGTCCGAAAGGACAACGCCCAATAGTTTGGCCTCGGAAACGACGTCGACCTCTTGATCGCGAATGGTAATAGGGGCAAACGATGGAGTAAGCTTAGAAAAGCAGACACGCAATTCTTTGGACTTTGATACGTTTAACTTCATATTATTGTCTGATGACCATTCAGAGCAGCTGATGATGTTAGCGGGTAACTGGGAAGGGGAATTGTTTGATATTATTTCCCAAAGGTTAGTATCATCGACAAATTTAACAGTTTCATCCGCTACAGCCAAGTCATTTATCATGATCAAAAATAATAGCGGGCCAAGCTTCGTTCCTTGTGGGACGCCGGCGTTTAAAAACTTCAACTCAGAAAAGAACTGACCAACACGGGTTCTTTGTTGTCTGCCTGTTAGGAAGTTTGCGATCCAGTTGAGTGACACGGGATGAATTTCCATGTCTTTCAATTTTTCCAACAGAATGTTATGATCTAATCTATCAAACGCCTTGGAAAAATCAAGTAAACATATCCGTATAGTGTTACCTTGTTTGTCAGCTGCTTCAAACCATTTATGTAGCATGTAGATTAATGCCATACTAGTGCTTGAACCCTTCAGCGAACCAAATTGCAAGGAATCAACTTTTTTTGAGACGGAGTCAAGTAGCCATTTGTAGGGAAAGGATTCAAGAATCTTGCTGATAATTGGTGTAAGGGAGATTGGTCTGAAGTCAGAATCAACATCTTTAGGAAGCGAAGATTTTTGAACTGGTGTAATATTTTCTGCCTTCCATATTGAGGGAACAAATCCTTCACGAACTGATGAATTAAAAATAGAACACAAAGGTCGACACAACACTGAAGCGTTTTCCCGGAGAAGCCAAGAAGGAAGTTCATCGGGACCAGCAGATGAATGAAGTTTAGATGATAATAGGGCCTTTTCAGTCTCCTCGACAGAGATGCAGAAATCATCTGGAATGTCATTTGTGGGAAGGGGGAGCCAGTTTAGATTGGGTAAGGAGGACCCTACAGCAACGAACTTGTCGTTGAGCAAATTTGTTAAATCGGCATCAGAGTAGGATTTACCTTGGAACATCATTGTAGATACATTCTTAGAAGACTGAAGACCGGCAATATTCTTCACCGCTGACCACCATTTACGAGAATCGGACTGTTGAACGCTCGCGATACTTTTATTGTAGTAATTTAGTCGTGCCTTTTTGCAAAGTGCATTGACTTTGTTTCGATAGAATCTGAACATCAGGTTATTGCCAGCCGCCCATGCTGTCTGCCGCGTGGAAATGAGAGATTTTATTTCGGAAGTAATCCAGGGCTTGTCACTAGAATCAATTTTGATTTGTTTCCAAGGCAAATGTTCGTTTATGATATTATCAACGATGGTGGAAAAATACTGCTCGTCACAAGATTCCATATGGTGCAAAGGTAACCAATTAACTTTCGAGAGATGATCGCTAACAATTCGACGATTGGTTGGGCGAGAGTCTCGTACTAAACGTGTAGACCTTGTGCCACCATAAGAGTTAGCTGGAAGAGGTTTAAGAACGATGGAATTATGATCGGAATGTCCAATTGGAGAAATTACCAGGGCAGAATTATAAAATTTAGAAATGTTGGTAAATATTTTATCTAAAATATTCTTTCCTCTAGTAGCGTCTTTGACTAACTGCTTGAGGTTAAAGGAACTGCATTACTGGCGATGTTTAAATTGGTTAAAATCTCCGGCCAAAATAATTCCTGCACCGGGATTGGTGGAAAGGACAGAATCGATTGATTCGGTAAGGTGTGAAAGAAGGGCTTTATCGTCACTTCCAGGTG